CTCATTAGTCCCAACTAGGATGTGGGAAAGTGTGTTTCCACATGATTCATAATGAGCTGGAAAATATTTCTTTCATCCTCCCTCATGCCTCATTTAAAAACCACCCAGCATTCTCATTTAAGTAAAATGCTACAATTGAATGAATGGACTGGTTATGACTGGCACATCAAAAATAAAACTAAAAATATGGGCTTGGCACGGTGGGCTAATGGCTAAAGTCCTCGCCTTGAATGCATTGGGATCCCATATGGATGCTGGTGCTAATCCCAGCAGCCCCACTTCCCGTCCAGCTCCCTGCCTGGGGCCTGGGAAAGCAGTCGAGGACAGCCCAAAGCCTTGGGACCCTGCACCGGTGTGGGAGACCCGGAAGAGGCTCTTGGCTCCTGGCTTCTGGCTTCGGATCAGCTCAGCTCTGGCCGTTGTGGTCACTTGGGAAGTGAATCATCGGATGGAAGATCTTGCTGTCTGTCTTTCCTCTTTTCTGTATATCTGGCTTCGCAATTAAAATAAACAAATAAAGCTAAAAATAAAAGTGGAACCCCAAACTCCCACTTTCAGATATGAGCCAAAAGCAATGGTAAGCAAAATGGAATTTCCTGCAATAAGTTTCACTGTTTTAAATTCTAATCTTCTTTTCCATTCTATTTTAAAGGCAGAGAGACAGAGAGCGAGTGACCTTCTGTCCCCTGGTTCATGCCCCAGTGAATACTCATTTCAGTATTCTTGTGTTTTTGTGGCCACATCACCCAAAAGTCAGATAGACTTTTGTGAAACAGGCAGGGTGTCTGCAGTAGTCTGGTCCAGGCAAGGCTGAAGCCAGGAGCCAGAAACTCAATCCAGGTCTCTCATGAGGGTGGCAGGGACCCAGAACCACTGAGCCATTAATCTGCCACTGATATGGACAATGTACATATTCCTTTCCAATCCAGGCTCCTGTCTTCTGAAAAGATAAAAATACTAAGTGGAGATTAATGTCATGCTAAAATAGGCTCAACATTTATAGATAGTGAAGGAATAAACATGTGAATGTGGACCACCCCCCACAGAAATGCTCTTCACCAGTGGGCCAAAGAGTTTCTGGAGAACGAGAAAGAAAACTACCACACAATCTCTAAGCAAAAAAACGAGATGAAGGTGCTGCCGTCAGATGTGGGCCTTCCAGCTGGAGGCCGACACGGCACCAGGCATCACGGAGACAGGACACACGTGCCAGCCTGGGTTTCTTGTCCTCAGCTCGCAAAACCACTAATGCCATGGTGGGGTCCCCCACCGCGCCGCCCCGTCATGGCCTCATCTGATCCTAATTACCTTCCAAGGTTCTAGCTCCGAATGCTGACAATATGTGGTTTTTAGGGTTCGGTTTCCAACACATGATCTTTCAAGGCCACATTCAAACTGTAGCCGCTGGCATTTACACGCTTGAGTAATCCTCTCCCCTCCAATATGGGCAGAACCTAAAGACCTGCCACTTTTTTTTTTTTTTTAAGATTTACTTATTTTCATTGGAAGAGCAGATTTATAGGGATAAAGAGAACAGAGAAATCTTCCATCCACTGATTCACTGCCCAAATGGCTGCAACAGTCACAGCAGAGCTGATACAAAGCCAGCAGTCAGGAACTTCTGGATCTCCCACCTGGGTGCAAGGTCCCAAGGCCTTGGGCCATCCTCCACTGTTTTCCCAGGCCTCTGCAGGAAGTGAGCAGCCGGGACATGAAGCAGTGGCCATGTGGGATGCTGCTGCCTGCAGACAGAGGATTAGGCAGTTGAGCTACTCTATCGGCCATGAGACCTGTTTCTAAGCGGTGGGACGCAGCAGTCAGCATTTGGGATGCTAGCCCAAGGTTCAAGTGCTTGCTGTGATGGAAGGCAGTGGCCACATGTGTGCTGCTCCACAGACGCCGCGAGGCAAGAAACAGAGGCCCCTGGTGCACAGCCAGCCAAGGGCTGAGGCCACAAGCCCCATCCTCCCACCTCCCATGGAGCATTCTCAGAAGCGAATCTGTGCCTGGCATTGAGCTGTCTGTGGCCACAGCCAACAGCCTTTCTTTTTCTTTTTGTTTTCACTTGACACATAATAGTTGTAGGTATTTATGGGGCACAATGTGATCTTGTCACACTTGGATGATGACAATTGTACAGAGAGCAGATCAAGGTGAGTGGCATCACCTTGGACATGGATCATTCAATATTCCCTCTTCTGCTTTCCTTGAATTACATAGAAAAGATGAACTCTAGTCCCCTGTTGTGCTGTAGAATACTAAAACCTAATTCTCTCTACTTCTATTATTTTTAAGATATTATTTTCTAGCCTGCAGAAGCTATGATGAGGGGTTGGTGGGAAGTGACTGAGATAGTGAGAGAGGAAGAGAGATCTTCCATTCACTGATTCGCTGCCCAAGTAAACACCAACCAGGAGCCAGGTGGGTGGCAGGGGCCCAAGACCTTAGACCATCTGTCACTGCTTTTCCCAGGGAGCTGGACTGCAAGTGGAACAGTTGGGACACTAAAGGGTGCCAGTCTCACAGGTGACAGCTTTACCCACCATGCCATGATACTGACCCTGAGATCAACATTGTTGCTGAACTTCTTTTGCATGTGGTTGTTGCACCTGCCTGGCTTACAGCACTGAACATGAGATCCTGTTGGCACATCCACACTGGAAAGCATCCTAAGCCAGATGACCCAGTGAAGCGCCACTAGGACCGTTGCCCCACAGAAAATGTGAGATATATGCCTACAGGTGGTTCAGTTTGGGAGCCATTTTTATAAAAGCAGCAATCATTGATTTAATTACAGTTAATCTAATGGGTGAGTCCAGATCAATGGTTCAGTTGGTAAATCCTCCATCAAGAAATAGAACATTGCCCAGGGAGGGGCAGTTGGGCCAGGAGTTTTATGTAGTGTGTAAGACACTACGTGGGACCTCCCACATTCTGCCTCTGAGTGTCAAAGCTGGAGTCCCAGCTCCACTTCCTATTCCAGCTGCCTGCTGATGCACACCCTGGCAGGTGGCAGATGATGGCTCAGTGGCTCAAAGGCGTGGATCCCTGTCACCCATGTGGGAAAGCTGCGTTGTTTCCAGGTCATGGCTTTTGCCTGAGCTGGCCCTTGATGTGTACATGTAGAGAGTGAACCATTGGTTGGAAGATTGATCTCTGTCAGATACATTATGTAAGTGACCTTTAAAAAAAATGAAGGAATACTGCCAGGACCAGAAGCCCCTTGAGCCTGCCCCGATCATAGTCTACCCTCCTGAAATGCTATCCTGGCTTTTGGGAAACCAGAAATCAAAAACATACTCAAGGCCTGATGCTGTGGCATAGTGGGTTACTGTGGTTTCAACATGCCATATGGATGCCAATTTAAGTCCCAGTTGTTCCACTTCTGATCTAGCTCCCTGCTAATGAACTTGAGAAAAAGTGGAAGATGGCTACGTGCTTGCTTGGGCTTCTGTCACCTTCTGAGAGATGCAGAAGCTCTAGGCTCCTGGCTTTTGCCTGTTGCAGCCTGTTGTATCCCCCTCTCTATATATGTATAACTCCATCTTTCAAATAAATAAGCCTTAAAAAAAATATTCAGATCAGGGAGCCAGCACTGTGGCATGCTGGTTAAGCCTCTGCCTGCAATGCCAGCGTCCCACATGGGCAACAGTTTGAGTCCAGCTGCCTCTACATCTGGTCTAGGTGGTGTGCCTGGGAAAGCAGCAAAAAAAATGGCCCAAGTCCTTGGACCCCCGCTCACATGTGGGAGACTTAGAAGAAGCTCGTAGCTCCTGGCTTCAGACCAGCCCAGTTGTGGCTGGCAGTTGTGGCCATTTGGGAGTGAGCCCCCAGATGGTGGATCCCTCTCTGTCTCTCTGTAAATCTGCCTTTGAAATAAAAATAAATTAACACCTAAACATTTTTCAAAGCCAACACCAGGCTTTTCTTCCTCCCACCCTTTCTTTTTTGCCTACTAAATTATCAAAACATGTCACCAACAGTAATGCCCAGTGCTGGGAGGGTGTATGGAAAATGTCACACATTGCTATTGTCAGCAGACATATCAGTTCTCTTAGGAAGTGATGGGAAATATGAATTATTGTTTCAAAGAAAGATCATATTCTTTGATCTATCCATTTCACAGGTGAGATTCCCAACCACAGAATTATTGCATGTTTAGAATTGCTCACTCCACCTGTTCCTGAATAACTGAAAGCCAGCTAGCTGTACAGCAATCAGAGCAGTCATTCTAATTTACTTGAGGACAAGTGTATGGCAATTATAATTTAAAGTGCTAATATCATGCAAAGCTGATGCTTTTATCACTTAAAAATTGTACTTCAGGATCTGGTAAAATGGCTCAGTGGTTAGATTCTCACCTTGCATATGCTGGGATCCCATATAGTCACTGGTTCATGTCCTGGCCACTCTACTTTCTATCTAGCTCCCTGCTTGTGGTCTGAGAAAGCAGAACAGAATGGCCCAAAACCTTTGGACCCTGCACCTGTATGGAAGATCTGAAGAAGCTCCTGGCTCCAGGCTTCGGGTCAGCTCAGCTCCGGCCATTGCAACCACTTAGGGAGTGAACCAGCAGAGGGAAAATTTTTCTCTCTGTAAGTCTGTCCTTCCAATACAAATAAATAAATCTTTATTTTTTTTTTTAAATTGTACTTCATCAAAATTAGCTTTCCAAACAGCTTCTTCCTAAGTGGCACCGATTTTACCCTCAGATGTTAACAATTGCAGAGAACACTGCTTTTTGCATGTTGTTCCACTGGAGGGAGCCCAAGGGCTGAAAATACTTGGTGTCTGTAACTCAATCTTCCACAAGAATCAAGAAATAAGAGCTGCAAAGGAAATAATCCAGGAATTTTCTTTACACTTGAGGATATGCATAAGATAATCCCTGGCTATAAATCATGTCCACTGTCAGTTCTGCTTTCTCACATTATCTATGCATGCATATGTGTATATGTGCATGTATATGTATATTCATCCATAATCTTTATGATCCACAGGTGCCAGCTGGAGAGGAAGATAATAAAAAGGAAAGCAGAATCAAGGACGCAAACAACTCTCAAAGCTCTAATATCAGCGCCATGAAATTTTAATCTAATGACGTTCCCTGAAATCTCAAAATAAGCCACAGAGCCCCTGAACGGCTTTTTCGTTCATTTAATGTTGGTATCCTGTTAAGGCTGAGCTCCACAGAGCCCTGTGACGACGGAAGGGAAGAACTGTGTAGCTCGGATGTGACCAGGATCCACCGCGGGGCTGAAACATCTCTTCCGCTTTGGCCATCTGCAAAGGGGATATGGGGCTAACCTTAGATAGTGACTTTACACTGGGCTCAGCTGCCTTTGAGCTCTGAACCTACTTGAAACATTCTTTTCTGTTTCCTGGATTTAAATTCCCAAAACCCTATTTAAGGTGCATAATATCTTTCTGGTGATCCAGTTTTGTCCCCAAAACAGTTGGAATCATGGTTGACACAAAGAACCACAGCTTCCTTGGAAGCAGGAAGGGTCTTCAAAAAGTTTGTGGGAAATGTATATCATGAAAAATGCATGAGTTTCAAAAACTGTATCCACGGCAACGTTTCCTTTAATTGCTCTTCCCATGAACTTGTTGGAGTAACCTTGTGTTTATTGTTCCTTCCATCTTTGTAGACTCAGCCAATGGCTGGGTTGTGGGAACCTGATAACTCTTGGTCTGGGACTTGGCCTGAGCACTGTCTGTCTTAGGTAGCACAGCATTCCCTGGAAGCTCTCTGAAGAGCATGTAGGGCTGTTTCTCATGGAAATCCAGAGGTGCGAATGACTCACAAAACTCTTCTGGTTGGAGATACTTTGCTCGGGAATCTCGCTTCCTTCTTCAGATACAGCCTAATGGCGGAATTAAAAGTCCAGGGTCCTGGATAATCACCCCAGGTGAGGATACCTTGCCCATAACATCGGGGTTTTGCAGGGTCCTCATCCTCCACCTGCTTCGAACAGTCAGCCCGCACCTACTGCTATTAGTTGCTATTCACAATGGTATATATGCTCAGTAGAAAAGTATAATTCTTTAGAAACCAGAAAAGCAAAAATAAATTGATATACCCTTTTCCTACTATCAAGAAGTCACCGGGCCCGGCAGTGTGGCCTAGCGGCTAAAGTCTTCGCCTTGAATGCCCCGGGATCCCATATGGGCGCCGGTTCTAATCCCGGCAGCTCCACTTCCCATCCAGCTCCCTGCTTGTGGCCTGGGAAAGCAGTGGAGGATGGCCCAAAGCCTTGGGACCCTGAACCCGTGTGGGATACCCGGAAGAAGTTCCTGGATCCTGGCCTTGGATCGGCATAGCATCGACCGTTGCGCTCACTTGGGGAGTGAATCATCGGACGGAAGATCTTCCTCTCTGTCTCTCCTCTCTGTATATCTGACTTCCCAATAAATAAATAAATATTTTTTTTAAAAAAAAAGAAGTCACCACCACTTAGAGCTTAATGCACCTGATACTTTCCGATATTGCTGTATGTGTGTACTTTACAACATGTGACTTGCTATGCTGCTTTGATTTTCTGCTTATTTTTCTTCTGGCCCTCTAACTTGCCCTAACAATGCATTTTCATCTTGCCTAGTACCTAGTCCATCTTCAAGTTTGCACCATCTATCCTCAAAATGTCCTTTATAGTTCCTCTGCTCAAAAAGGACTAGATTTAGTCCAGAAACATGCCTTGCAAGACAGTTCCTCTTTCTTCCTTTCAATAGACTTGTTGAAGAGACCTGGCCAGTTATCTCACTTTGCAAATGTGTCTGCTTGCCCTGCTTCTATGCCACACAATAGGCCCCTCAATTCCTGACATTTAACCACAGAAATTAAAGATAATGTTTCATGTCTGTTTTGTTCTTGTTTTGGGGGGGGGGGTGGAGTTATTTTGTGTTATTTATACTTCATGTTGCATTTTTGTCATCCTAGAGAAGATTAATTGGATGTTAAGACTCACTCATGGGTTAGGGTAATGACTGCCTGAGTCTTTAATGAATAATTAATACCTCTCAATGCTCTGCAAAAAGATGGAGATCTCTGTGCTGTTATTTTCAGCCTGCTATGAATGTTTAGTTCCCACCAGTCATATATCTAAGTGTTTTAAAAGCAGCTGGACATCGTTGCCTAAACCAATAACTTTCTTAGGGATTACAGCAAGCTAACTTTCTAATTCTGTCCACCATCCTGCATTCTTGGTGAACATTCTTCTGTGAAGTAGCATGTCCCCCTCATCAACTGGGACTACTGGCTGTTCCAAAGGTATTGAATAAGTGCCTAATTCTTTCTTCTTGGTTACCACCTAACAAAGCAAGACATTTATTTGAAAGTCATTTTAAATAATGACTTATTAGTGCTCCTTTTTGAGTATTTTATGAGTATATTGGTTTTCATAATTCAGTGTAATTTGATCCACTCAATCACTTTTTTATGTTCAAATCGTTGTAGATTTGGGCTCAATCTGGACTCCCTATTTGAACATACCTTCTAACTTAAAATTTATGTAGAATATTTCCTTCTTTGAATGCTGTCACAGTCCCCAGTTCATGCTTAATATTTTTTGTGACTATTCTCTGTCATTAACCTGGGCAACATTACTGGCCTTAGCATCACAGACAGGTGGCTGGGAGCTAGGACATGAAGAATCTCCCACGTCATGTTCAAGAATGTAGACTTTCACCTGACGGCATTAGCCATTGAACAGTTACGAACAAGAGAATATGAGCACCCTGCTATGGGAAATTTAACAGAAGCGACAAGGTAGAAATGCCAGAAACCCAGTTAGAAATCTAACCCACAGTCATTTAGGTAACAAGAGCTGAAAACATGGCAGCAGGAACAAATGTAAGGATGTTTCCAAGTGACTACCAACAGGACTTAATGGTTACTTACATGTGGAGGCCAGGGGAGAGGTAAGAATCTAAGATGACTCCAGGTTTCTGGTTTGGGCAACTGCTAAGGCAATGGTGCCACTCAGTGGGCTCCAGAACAATAGACTGGAATCCAGGTGCAGGAGGAAGCACCTGACACACTGCCTTAGTCAATGCCACACATCTTGTTCTAACAGACAGATATAGCCATACTTCCTCAGTGAGTACATTTCTCCCCTGCGGGAGACAGAAACACATGGTTTCTCTTTGAACCAGCCAGCATCACTCCTTCCTTCCACAGTGTCCCCATTCTCTGCCATCATTTCTTGTGTCCTTCCTGTGCCTACGTCTGTGCCTACATACACTGACTTCCACCCTGATCCAATGTAACAAAGGCCCCTGATTCTCTTGATGACTCCAGTCATGCCCTGTGCCCTCCTCCTCTCAAATTCTCAAGGTGATTGTGCTGACAGAAACCAATTCTTTCTATATCTTCATGCCCTGCCTCTCTGGGGTGTGATTTGCATCTCCATGCTACTTCCCATCTTCAGAAAAAAGCTTCCTTTGACCAACCCCATGGCTCTTTCAGTTCCTGATCATTCTTTCAACTCAACCTGTACTGCTATTTTTATCCTACACTTCCTTTCTCACATTTACTTCTGTCCCCAGGTCTTTCCTAGTTCTTCTGTCACCAAGCTACTGTCACCACCCCAACAAGAAAATGGTTAGCATGGTCACCAAGGTAGGTTTCCCTCTAAGTCAGGGCTGGTGATCTGCACCCTTCTTATTCCATTTCCCTGTCACACCTGCCCCTCTTCCGGGCCAGTCAGTGCATCTTTATTAAGCCACTCTCTGCCTGGCATTGTTCTCATCCTTGAACAAAGGAATGACAAGATCCCTGCTTCTGGGAATTTGTATTTCCCACAGGTGAAAGCAGTTAAAAACAACAAAGGCTACTGAAAGGAAAACACACACACACACAACTCAGAACTTGTGGAATTTCCCTTTAAGCAGAAATTATCACTGTAGCAAGACACACCCTATTTGATAATGTTCAATATCAAACCAAATTATAGGATATGTCTATATATCACCACCTGGCAAAAATGAATCCCATCTTATGTGATATCTTTAGCACAGCACTTATCTCCTTCCTGCTTCTCTTGGGTATGGTATAAGAAGTAGGGGACAGGACACAAGAAACCACAGGCTTTCTATAGAAGGGACTTTTGTTTCTCCTAGCTTATAAGGCTGTGCATCGGGTCCTGGTGACAAGCAACAGAAGTGAAAGAATGGTCAGACGTCCAGGGCACACTCTACCTTTTCTGTCCCCCTTTTTAGTTATACCCAGCAAAAGCTTCTTTCTGATATGGAGGGATAAATCACGAACTCAAAACATGTCCAATGGTCCAGGAAAGAAATTTTCTTTGGGTAATGTGTTTTGATTCTAAAGACAGCAAAGTAGGAGTGGAAACATAATACTGACAAGAAGTGTGGTTTGCAAACATGACTGCAGCAAGTCCCTCAGTCCTGTGTATACACCACGTCCATCAAAGGGTGCATCTGCCTCCCTATTCCTTTTGTCCTGGTTGGCCTTGGGACCTAATTGGATGTAAGTGAAAGTGACGCTGTGAAACTTGCACATCTGGGCTTTCCCCCTTTGCCGCGTGGAACCCCCATGTCACCAGCACAGGAGTCAGCGTCGGCTCACCTGTTGGACAAATAGCCGAGCCCTGAACCTTGAGGTCTCCCAGACAAACTACTTCTCTCACCCTACCCACGAGGGAACTTTTGTTCTTCCTCTTAATTCTTTTCCCAGAATCTCTATAATAAGTGGTCACTTTAATAGCGAGCTGTTGTGAGTAAGCCACATAACCCAGCTTGGGCTTCGTTTTGTGTGTGTTTTCCTACTTTCCCAACTGCTTCTATCTGGAAGGCAAATCTTTCTAAGAAAACATTCTTGATTAAGTTGTACTTGCTTTACCACAATTCCCAGTAATCCTAAAAGGAAATCAGACTCCGGAGTGGCTAACCTTCCAAACGCCAGAAGGCTGGCACATTTGACCTAATTCCAGGTGACTGGAAGCAATGCTGTGGGTTTGCTTTTGGTCATTCTCACCCAAAGACAAGAGAGCTGTTGTACTCCTCCGTCTGTGTGTGAAGTACTTTTCACCGACTTGGGTTTGCCAAGACTTTTATCAAATGGTTTCTCAAACAATCCTGTGAGGTGAAAAGTCCCACCAAGCCTTGTATATACACACACACACACCTACATGAACACAAAGAAAGCCGGATAGTAATGTGATATTTTAACCTGTGTGTATTTTTTTTTATATCCCAGAGCTTCCATCAGTTCTAGTGGCAGCATGTTCTAGAAAAGCAGGATGTCCTATACTTCCTGCTTCAGAGAAAAGACAGCAGGGCAGAACATAAAGCAAGTGTCGCCCTTGAGTTTGAACTTTTGGAAGCTTGGGCTTGGAGGAGGCTCAGATGATATAAGGGGAGAAATAGTACAGTTTCTACACTTGCTCCAAGCAGTTCCACAGGCTGTACAGGAAGGTGGATGAAGTTATACCTACTTTTGCTACCGCCAACAGCAAGTCCATTTCTCTGGATCTCTGGTCACACTGGGGATGGGCAATGCTTTTGAAATGTACCAGTCTGTCACATAGAAAGTAAGATTCAAGCCTGGCTTACCAGAGACTTGCAGTGCTGCTCACGGGTCTATTTCCATGTGGTACCTTCTGGATTTCAGTGGACACTGTGTGCATCACACAGGGAGAGGCATGGAAGTAGATGAAATGATGTGGCTATCAAACTCCCAGGCACTGTGCTCTCTCCTAACGTCTTTGGTTGGCCCACTTAGCCTCTCAGTGCTTGCTTTCTTCACACACAGTGAGGGATTTGGAGTAGGCATTTCACAACATCTGGCAACAGCTGTAAAGAGTGGGGTGGTAATGAATGTACTGTGCAGATAAAACTATAACACACACTATTGACT